CCAACCATCGCTTTGCAAATCACAATGGCAATAACGCACAGAACCGCCGGGGGTCCAGCGACGACCACGCGCGCCGGAGGTCCTTCTACAATCCCTAAACACTGCGGAGAGAGCCGGAGTCAATGAGTAAATGAATAGTATGCATAAGTGAATAAGTAAGTGAGTGACGAAATCTCTATAAACGCCTAGGAGTGTAAGTGTAGAGTAAATAAATGAGTGAAGTATATGTGTATAAGATGTAAGAAAAGACGAGGAAAAAGAAAAAGAAGTCGAAGAAGACGAGGAAAACAAAGAATCAGGCGAAATAGCAGCCAACAAAACTAAAACCCCACACAAAGATGGAAGGAAAATAAATAAATAAATATATATATTGTTTTTTAATATATAAATTTATTAAACTTCTATTAAATAATTTTACTACCCAAATATATTCTACCAAATCATCAAATAGAAATATTAAATCTATAACGTATTTACGCATATAATTATTAAAGATGAAATATTACAATAAAACCTTATTCCCTCCGATCATCCAAATGTTATAACGGCAAACATTAACACGCACATCCATTTTAATATGAAATAAAAATATAAATCCAAAAATCAATCATTACGAACAAAAAGAAATAAATCAATATTAACTATAATAAACCCTACGAAATTCAAATCCGCGACCAACGACACCTAAATATAATGACATTACTTAATATTACACGCCCCAAAACGAAAACAATTTACAAACATAATTAGAATATTCTTTCATATTTAAGAATCGAAAAAATAAAATAATTCAATTATTTCGGAAAAATAAATCCAAACCGCGACGGAAATCATAAATCAATTATTTTAAAAAAATCAAAAAAACGTTTTTTATTCAATCGCACCCCAATCCGTAATAAAAGTAATAAATATAAATATATTATATATATATATTACTAATAATCTAAATATTACCAAACTATATCAAAATTAATTTTTCCTTAAATTTTAAATATAAATATATTCCTAGTAATATTACATCGTTTCATTTTCAATCGATATGTTTCCTTAGAATTTCCTATAATTAGAATGTATTTTTAAAATATATATTTTGTTTATTGATTTATTATATGAGGGACGGTCAAAACTCCTTATTCTTCTTCAGCTAAAAGATGGACGTCATCGGTTTTGAGGTGGACCTTATCGTTTTACAGCGTTTTGAGTTCTTGCATACTTATGACCATATACAGCGCTGGGGTTATCGGTTTTGAGGTGGACCTTATCGTTTTGCAGGGTTTTGTGCACAAACCTACCCCTCTTTACTAAAGTGGTCTTCGCATGTTTTGACCGTGGCTCATATATATTTATTGTAAAATTGAAATTACTATATGGGTGGTTGATCAATATTATTTCATCCTGGAATGGCCATTCATCGCGGAAAAAAAGATATCTTTCGCGGCCTCATCGCGAAGCATGGTCCTACAACCATGTCTAGCTAACATGAGCCGGAACATGTCATAATAGGGAGAGACATCTTGCAGCATGACCCCAGTAGATGGTTGAACGTTTCCACAGCTACTCAGGGTCACTTGCAGCATCTGTGCGACAATTGTGCCAAATAGAGTCAGGCACAACTCAACCCAATCCTCGTGTCAGCTACCAACACAGGGTGATGCAGCTTGGGGAATGTTTGGGGCCTCAAGCTGGGAACCTAGACTTTAGCGGCACATTCGCGAAACTTTCGCGGATCCTTCGCGAAATTTCACTGGTGCTTTCCCGGGACGCCGTAACATTTGCAAACATCTGCACAGCGAGTCAGAGCAGCGGCAGGTCGTTGCCTCACTGTCAGGGCTGCGCCTACCCAGCTTGCTAGTATGTGACAGTGGGGACAGGAATCGGAGAATCCTTTACGCACTGCCAGGGCTGGGCACGGAAAGGTTGAGGCTTCAGTTCGTTAGTCTGTGACATGGGGACACTTCGCCCACTGGCTCTGCCGGAGGATTGCCTTGCGTTTCTATTCTTTGTCAGTCCGGTAGAAAGGAAAACAATGAAAGCGATGACCTTCGATAAACCTTTCGCGGAAAAAACAGATACTTTCGCGAACCTCATCGCGAATCTTTCGCGGATGGTTCTAACAACATCTGAAAGGCTGTTTTATATAAAACTCCTTACATGGGGTTTTCGATCAACTCCCAATTATGATTAATGGAATAGATATTGTCAAATTGTGCCAAATTGTTATTTCTTAAGTTTTTGATATATCCCTATTGGTATTAGGTCGTTTCATCTTCAATCGATCTCTTTCCTTGGAATTTCCTGCAATTCGAATGTCGTTTGTCATTGAACGTTTGAGCACAGTGCCAATCCCAGATTTTTGAGAGAAAAGAATACTCCGGGCCTGGCCCAGTCTTGTCCTCAGCTTGGCTTCCTTCTTCTAAAATCGAATAGCAAAACAAAGAATATTGCACAGTACATTTCATTCGCCGCCACACATGTTGACTTAAGCCTTAAGCCCAGCTTCCGACTTTCTCAAAGCTTTCCTGATCGCCCAATGCGCCGCAATTCTTCGATCTGTGAATTGAACATATTTTTCTAGGAGGCTGTCCTTTTTTTCAACTTCTGAGCCTTTATCTCTTCTCGATAAGCATCCATCTCCTTCAGAGAGAAGCCAGGTCAAACAAGGCTCTGTCCAACCAAACATATTGTAAGCCTTCAACATCTGTGTCGGGAGTTGTGCTCGCAAAGCACCAAACTCAGCACCGAAGAGCAAGGAATGTGCCCAGCCAGCAAATGGTGCGCCTCGGACTTGGGAAACACCTCACGCACAAAGTGTACCAGAAAAGGACACCCAAATGAAAACGTGTCAAGTTCACCTTTCTCACACTTCTCACATTTCTCACCCACCACCACCACCACCACCACGCCAAGCTACCAAAGCGGTGGCGGAAGGCATTGCCCACCCGCTCGTAAACCAGAGGGGTCAAAGACTTGGCCTGACGATGCTATAGTGAATTGAAGCTATAGACGACAACCTAATAGCGACGGCCTCCAACATAAAAGCAATGGCCTCCAACCTCTAATAGCGATGGCCCCCAACATTTCATTTGCTAAAACTTGGAGCCTTTGATGCTGACGATCGCTTCATATATTTCTTGACTGCACTTGGACCAAATACTTTATTCGTACTTACTACCCAGTGAGCCATTGACATTCTTGCTCTCTCCTCTCGTAGCTCAGGCTCGTAATCCCTGGTCACAATCTGCCAGATGTGAACATCCTAGACTCAGTGCCAGAATGGACAAAGCCATGGGACATTGGCACAAGGTATTCTAGATGAGTTCTACTCTTTTTTGATCTGCTTCCAAGTATCCACTGGAACTGATCCATGCTGCTTCATTGCAAACAAGGCAATACAGTCAGCCACTTTGGGACCGACTCCTGGTAAGCGGCCTCATTGTGGGGGCATCCTACCAAGGCTAAACAATGAGTGAGTACTTCAAGCGGCTTCCTTTCTTGACTTGTTTAAAGGGTTTCAAGTTTGGACAGCACAAACTTGCACTGTGGCTGTGTGAGTTTCATACAATTCCTGGCATTGCCGAGCCACAGAGCTCCTTCCGCACTTCCAAACGCCGTTGCCGCATCCCCTCCGGCCTTACATTCCTTTCTCACTAGTCCAATCATTTTGTAAACAGCGAACGAAAGGACAAGGTGCTCTTCAGTCTGAAGCGGGTCGATGCCGGAGAGGTCAATGCTGGCAGGGTTCAAGTGCTTCGACCACTTTGAAGATTACACACACTCTGACAATTGCATTCTGTTATCTCAATTCCCACCTGGAGAAGGAAGGCGAGGGAACAGCAAGGTGGCAAAGTCCGTTGAAAAGTATTGTTGAACATTGTTGAGACAGGCTGCATGACGATCGAAACGGCGGCTCAGTAGCTGGGGAAGAGTGGGTTTAAGGGAGGAGAACATGAACCACCATGGAAACCAACAAGGGAAAGAGTGGAGTCACAGCTTGTGGAAAAAATCACGCAGGTACACACGGGTGATCAATCCGTGCTTCCCACTCCAAGGCATAGCTTCGTTGCACTGAGTTTGCCAAGGAGTGCTCAGTGCCCCTGCTAGTGAGAACCAATGGAAGGTGGATCTGCCGAAAGAAACCCTTTGTCCAGGGGTGGACACACACAGGTCGCCGTCGTCGGCGCTTTTTTCAAAAACCGGTGACAGGCTTGGTGGTTGTGTCCTTTTTGGACATAGAGCCTCACTAGCTCGGCGGCAGCAACTTCAGCGCTGGAGGGTGGAAAGGTGTACTTGCGGATAGCGTGGAGTCTGGATGCGGCGTGGCGATCGGCTGCACGGCAGCTGGCATGTTCAGCGCAACAGCACGGAGACATGCAAGTGAATTACAAAGCACACGGGCCGAAAAGCACATACATTGAATTCAAGAATCAAATGCAACTAGAAAGAGTGGTAGTTCCCTCACAAACTCATCGGCATGAAAGTGAGGTGGGCATGTGACACATGATTCATGCAAAATGAAGCTATGAAGCCGCTGCACAAACGCAAGTAGTGTTTTGCTGCTGGTGACGAAGTTGAGTCTGGTCAGGTGAAACAAAAGTTGGGAGTGGTGGTTGCGTGGTAGTGGACAGTGGAAAGGTCATGGATCCGGTGGAGTAGACTTGATGGACCAGGCCAGTCCTTTGACGATGGCATGGTCTGGGTGGATGACTCAGCATTTGCCTTTCTGGTGAAAGACAGCTCCGTGGTGCTCGTTCAGCAGGGTCATGGCGTATTCCTCACCGCCAGAGGTGTATTTGGTGGCGGCGCCCCACGCAAGAAGCGTGAGGATGAGGGAATGGGTGTTTTTGGCGAGTTGCCAGGCGTTGTGAATAATGCGGGCAAATTCGCCATGATCGTGGTTGGGGTCGTGGGTGATTCGTACGCCCTGGGCAAAGAAGCCAGGGTAGTTGGCAAAGTGGAGTGTGCTCGGGAGGAAGCGGCCTTGGCGTAGAATGTTTGTGATATTGCCAACAGGGCCTGTGTGGCCGGCATTGATGTGCGCAACTTCCCTGTGGGTGGAGGTGGCACGGGAGACGGGTGGTGGTGTGGGGTGGGTGGCTTTGGTGTGGAGGAAAGGGAGTGAGATGGCGTGGTATTGGAAATGATCCCATTGCTGGGTGGTTTCATTCCACTTGACATAAGTGTATTGGCGAAAATCGTTGAGCTCTTTGTACGTGATGTTGCTGTCAAACAGGAGATTGGCAAGGTATTGGTGTTGAGGGCGGTTGGAGGCTTCGAGCTGGTCGGCGTGGAAATCGAGCCAGGCAAGAATCTGCTCTTTTGGTGGTAGAGTTGAAAAAGTTGGTGTAGGTCGCCATCGGTTGGGTGGTCGACGGATCGTTGGTGGAAATCTGGAAGTGTCCGTGTTAGTGTTGTCTGCTGTGGAGGCATCGGTATTAGGGCGTAGATCAATGGGTTGTCTGGAGCGGCTGCGGGAATGTGTGGATGAGTAAGAGTAAGTGGATGTGGTCGGCGAGCGATGTCGCCGAGAGGAAGTGTGATGTCTAGTGGATTTGGAGTGATGGCGATGTCGCCGGCGGCGGCGGTGTCTGTGCCGGCCACTTCTGTGATGGTCGCTCTTGCGCCGGCTTCGGTGGTGGTGGCGACGACTGCTGTGATGTGGATGTGGAGATGGTGGCATGGGTGAAGCTGTGTTGTCTGGTATGTTAGTGATGGGTTCTGGGGCCACTGAGGTGGGTGGGGCCGATGCGATGGAAGGTGATGGAGAAGGTAGTGAAACGGTGGCAGTGGCTGGTTGATTGGGTGCTGTGGTGGCTGGATCCAGTGACTGGTGTGGTGGTGGAATCTGCGGTGAGTCACTGAGAGCCAATTGGGGTTGTGGTGGAGGTGAATGCACAGGTTGTGTAACCGGAGGAAAAGCTGAATAAGGCTGCCAGACCCCTTGTGGCATGTGCCATTGGGGTTCAATTGTAGTGGTAGGTGAGAGCATTGGCTGAGGTGGTGGGGCAGGTTGAATTGGTGTAGCGGTGGCTTGATCTGTGGAGGGGGACTGGTGCAGTTGTTGCACAAGGTAGGACGGGGGTGGTGCCGGTGGTTGGCACGTGGGTTGTGGCAGCTTGAATTGTGGTTGAGAAGGGGTTACCATCGTCCATGTGGTGGGATTGCCAAAAGGAGGGGCCACTGCCGGTGCTGAGTGACAGGGAAGTGGAGTGGGGATCGACATCGGGTGAGGAGCTGGAAGTGTCTGATGTTGCGGTACAGGGTATGGTGGAGGTTGTGGGTAAGGAAATGCTGGTGTGGCATGCGGCTGTGGCAAAGGTGCTGTCTGTTGTGGCGGTGGTTGTGCTGATGGAACGGGTAGTGGAGGTGGCATGGCTTGTGGATAGGGCCAGGGGTACTGCATGATGTGTCCAATAAAAGGTTGGTGAAGATCGGCACGGCTGTGCAGCAAAAGCTTCAAAATGGCGCGGCGCGGCAGCTGAAACTGCGAGTGTTGGAATCGTGTGAGTTAGAGGTCGTAATGCTTGTGTTGATGGTTATTCACTGTAGGTGTGAAGTAGTGAGAGTTGTCTGCCTGTAGAGTGTAGTGAGTGTTAGTGTGTTCATGCATATTGAATTAAAAAGTTTGAAAATCAAGTCGGATCGCTTGAGCGCTCATGCAGAAAACAGGCGGAAAATTGCATTGAGATGCACAAAAACGATGCATGTTGAAACGGTCAGGTCCCGTGGTAAGGCCCGGCGGCCATGGTAGCTGTTGATTCTGTGGGAGTGTAGATGAGTTCCAGTGAAAGTCCTGTGAGCGGTGGTAAGTTCAGAGAATGCTTTCCCAAAGAAACATAAGGGAGGAGAACATGAACCACCATGGAAACCAACAAGGGAAAGAGTGGAGTCACAGCTTGTGGAAAATATCACGCAGGTACACACGGGTGATCAATCCGTGCTTCCCACTCCAAGGCATAGCTTCGTTGCACTGAGTTTGCCAAGGAGTGCTCAGTGCCCCTGCTAGTGAGAACCAATGGAAGGTGGATCTGCCGAAAGAAACCCTTTGTCCAGGGGTGGACACACACACACACATCACCCTACATCCAAATACACTGGCCAGCGTCTCTACCCAGACATCCCCAAATATAGACCCATACTCTTGGATTGCTTGAAAGTCCGGTCGCCGGATTTCTTCGGAACCCTTCTTCGGACAGTGTACTCTGGAGTGTAGTGTCTCAGTAAATCAGACACAAGACGTCCAAAACTGTGGGAAGAAGCATCCTTTGCAGCCAATATTTGAGGTGCATTGCTTCGCTCACACCATTAAGCAGCGCCAGTACCATTAAACCAAGACCATTAAACTTAGATGCTTCACTCAGGTCGCCTATCTCTGGACTGCTCAAGCCATTTCAGCATGCATCCATCCTGATCATCTTCACTTGTTCGAGTTAAATCTGCAACACGAATGCAGCTCTCCTTCTGTAGGAGCATCTTTGCGGCTGAACGGACATAAGCCTCACAGCTATGGAATTCCACATTACGGGGACTTGTGGACAACAAATCGCTAGATCGTATGAAGCTTGACTTGATAGCATTATCCGCTTTTGGCCTTTTGGCCTCAAACTAGGACTTCTAAACATAAACAAAAAATCAAGAGATGATCGACACAGGCCACTTGATCCTCGCAAGGAAACGTCGCGAACAACTGGGCCACCCCCACTGCTCGATAGCCCAAGCCCAGCGCTTTCAGGGAGCTCTCCTTTGAAATCTCGGTATTGAAAACGCAGTTTGTATGACCATCTTAAACTTACTGTTCTCTTCGACTCTTCCATTTTACCAAGTCAATTTGTATATATATATACCTAATCTTTCAACTCTCTGCTTATCTCAAAAAGGATCGAATACCGTTGGTGTCCCAGGTTCTGAAGCAGCTGCAAGTCGTGCAACGCTCGGAAAGGCATAAAGTTTGCGCTGCACATTGAACTCTCGCAACACTGCAAGATCTGGCAACGTGCTTGCAACTAAGTGTCGGCTGACTATGGGTTCCTGTCTGACTGTAGCATTCTTGAAACAATGCCTTTTGTGGTAACCGGTAACCTTCGTTTCACACCAAAACCACATCCACTGAAAAAAAGAGATTTGGTCCATTCTTTAGGGTTCAATACTTGGCTGCTGTCTCTCTCCAATATCACCACAGCACACAACTCGTCTATGCTTTCAATTGCAATGAAATAAAGCTGATCATCTGAGACCAAATCACATCTGAGAGTTGACAGCAACCTCGCCTCCATCACCTTCAGCATCAACACCAGGTGCTATGGAACAAAGCAATTCACCATAAGTTGCACGAAGGCGATCCATGAGTAAGCAAATCCGTGACCTGCAGGAGCTCTTCAGTCAAAACTTGTATGAGGGCGACGGGCAGGAACTTGCTCAAAGTTTCAACCCTTTCGTTTCTCTGCATAGGATTCAAGAGCACACACATTTGAGAATATTAGTGTAGAAATATCATGAAATGACAAACTTAGCCTCAATTCTCCTCAATTGCTTTCATGATGAAAACTATCCAACACAGTTAGTTGCGAGCACACAGTTGGTAGGAATTCCAAAAAACCCTCTTGCTCATCCTGTCATGATTTTTAGGCTTAGCCGCTGACACATTGTTGTTCTGCGAGCAAATGAATCCGAAAATGGTCTCCACCAAGTCCTGTTGCAAAACGCAAAGTCCAGGCAAGCACCTGAGGGCGGTTTATGCACTGAAGCTTCAAACCAACCGCGGCTCGAAGGAAAGAAGCGCGTGGCAAACACGTTGCAGAATTTCTATTCTCGCGTTTATCGTTCTTCCAGTGTTTGGGCTCGCACTTAAGCAGCGAACTCAGCAACTTGGGCCAACCGTGTGCAGCTCTTGGCCCAAGCACTGCGCAAATCTTGCAGAGGGCCATCCTCACAGGATCGCAAGGATCCAATGAGTTCCCCACAGGTTACTTGTAGCTTCTTGTTCCTAGTAGTAATGCCAGCGATGTAAGCTTGGGCAAACCTCAACCCTGAGCGGCAGGCGTCCAAACCAAGGAAACTTCTCACCCTTTGACATGTTACGCCAGGACCTGAATGTATAGATCAGATCTTCATGTCAAACGAACACCAATTCCTTGACAAATTCTCAGGCTGTAGTCCGAGCCTGCCAACGTGCACCACCGAATGCTTTTCTCACTTTGGACGAAAAGCACTACGGAGTTGCCCATCACGCCCAAGTAAGCTTCCTGTGCAAAAGACTAAAGGACAACGGTCTGGAGGTTCCCCAAACACATGTCCTGTATGGCACTGTACTTGCTCTATTTGGGTGAACTGGGTTACAAAGCCAACTTCACGTGTTTCTCATTGTTTCTCTGTTTACACATCCTCGGGCTGTCTGGCTCAGCAATTTCAATTGGCTTTCCAACGCAACCTTTTTCTCCTACATATAGTATCAGCGTCGCTCACACCTCATCACAGGACCTGAAAGTCAGCGCTTTGCGCCCAGCTAGTGCATTTCAATTTCAATAACTTATCCTTGACCCTGCCTTTCATTGGCACCTCTCTACTCGTTGTGGTCAGCGCCTTTGTCTCCCAGCCCTGGCGCCCCAACAGCCTTTGCACATCAGCGTTGATTCGCTTTCTTACTACCCAGCATAAACATACAAAGTGGGCGCCAGTCAGGTGAAAGAGCATGCTTGCTTGCCATCGGTCGGAATATCCAAAACACATCAATATCACGCAAAGTACTCACCACTGGTTAATCGCGCGAGGTCCATAGATGCCGATGCAAATTCTGTTCGTTTTTGTGCGATGATTGTGTCGGAGGTGGTTACCAAATATTCAAGCTAGTCAAACCCGCTGCCTTCCCATTCCGTGCGAGATTCAGTGTGGTTCATTCATGGGGCTTTCAGTAAATGCTTCAGGAAAAACAATACCGAGAATGCAGCTACTGACAGAATGTGTTGACATCCTGGCAACCACAGTTTATTGTATTCTGAATTCTCAATGATTAGTTTAATCAAAGCTGGCAAGATCTTGCGAGGATGGTTTCAGCTTGCTCGTCCCTTACACATTAGTCACAAGTCATCAGTTCTGATTGAAATCTTTCTATGAGCCAGTCCGACTGTCAAGTCTTTTCACATTCCAGAGCAGTCCTCTGAAACTGCCAGGCGCTTCCATCCAAAGGACTGGCCCGGAGACAAGGTGGTCGACAACACCACGGGTGCCTCTAAGGTCGTCCAATCTGCTCTGCTGGGGCCAGTGGCACCCTTGGTGGAAAAACCCTTTGAAATCTTTTCAGGCTCTATCCAATCCAAGCACCAACTTCTTGTCTTATCCCTTCTGAACGTTCGAATTTCCGTAGAATTGTCAGCTAGCAACTAAAAGAAGAGAGAGCGCGAAATGAAAGCCAGGGCATCCAGCCACCAATCCACTCAACCATTCATAGCCATCAATTGACATATTTACACTCTACACACATCTATCAACATCTACTGATCATGATTGAATAGAACTCATTGTGGAAGGATCTCTATCTATCTGTCTATCTAACCATCTATCTAGCTATCCATCTGTCTATCTATCCATCGGCCTCCATCCACTACTCCTTTCCCCGTCTCTCTATCTCTCCATCTTGCTATCTCTCTAAGTCTCTCTCCTTTTATCCAGCCACCTCTCCACACACCCATTCATGGCCATCCCTATTCGCACAAAAGACACCTCTATCCACATCTACTTGTCACCACATCTACTACATACAATCCATCTAACTCTAGCCCTTGTATCAATCCATCCATCAAGTGTACTTAAATGCAAATGATGTAACGATTACAGCTGAGCATCCTCGACATCATTAAAAATCCACAAGATCGAAACTGCTGTCCATGCTATTTACAGTAACCCTTGCTACTCAGTTAGCTTATCGGCTGACTTTTTTGTGCTTGCTATCGGTGCAATTTCTTAAAAAAGAAAACTTGCTCCTTCATACCTTTGTGGCCAAGGAGCTTGGAGCGCTAAGTCTATCTCGACCATTGGAACGTTTCTGGACCGCGTCTGACACGACAGTGACAAGCACAGGATATTGTCTGTGGTTTACAATTTCTCGGAATGCACCTCATCCCACAGGAGAGAGCTATACAGAAAGGAGATTTGCACATCCACCAATATATAGTCGAAGTCATCATGAAACAGGCTGGTCAAACACGGACATTGTCTCCACGCCTTGTGTCGTAAGACACCAGCTGGCCACATGGCAAAGGATCATTTGCATCAACAAATATGAGGTGTTTGGAGTAGGCTAAATGCGAAGTGGTGGGGTTTTGTTGCATGTTCATTCAGTATCTTCCTTGAAGCTTTGCCGAAGCTTTGCGGGGCAGCAGCGTGAAACATGCACGCAAGGTTCAAAACTGAACTGAAGGCCGGCTCTTTCTTCCCAGGACAGTCGGTGGGTCATTCTCCTTGGGAGATGATCCGAGAGCCTTACGAGAAGACCTTGGTTTGTTTTGTGTTTCAGGAGTGATTGAGGAGACTAAGGCTTTATCTGAAGTTTACAGTTGATTGCTTCTCTGCCTGATGCCAAGTGTCTGCCTTGCTAACCGTTTAGCGTGAATCACCAAATCACATCTGAGAGTTGTAATAACATCTTTAGCTCTATGCAATCGCAAAGGACCAGGGCTGCTGCGAAGACCTTACCGTGTTCTGAAGTCAACCTCAGACTTCAAAAGTCTTGCAACACCTCTTTTGCCACTCATGCCCTTCCATGGATTCGTGGATTGTGGAAAATCCCTTGCCATGCACTCAGCTGAGACGGTTGGTCTTCAAACTCGTTCCTCACTGACTATATCGTGAGTTTCATTTACCTAATTATATATACTGTAGTCCATTCCCGAAAACCCTTCACTCAAAACCGACTTAGACTGTATACAGGCACTGATGAAAAAAAGTTCAACGGTTTCCGAGCATTGAGTTACCCACATGTTCTTTGCTCGCTCATGTCCGACAATGCGCTCCAAAGCAAACCTTCAGGCGAGGGATCCAAAAGGCGGAAGAACTCACTGTGATATCAGTGACATAGAACAAAGACGCTACTAGGGGCTCCTGGCATCGCTACTAGGAGCAAGGACGCTGCTAGGG